TCTCTGATATCAGATGGAGCTTGGCAATTTAAGGCTTTATATGTGAGAAGGAGGATTTTAAATTCTATTCTTGATTTAACAGGAAGCCAATGAAGAGAAGCCAGGATAGGCGAGATATGATCTCTCTTTTTCATTTTCATCAGAACTCTGGCTGCAGCATTTTGGATCAGCTGAAGGCTTTTAACTACAGTTTGTGGACTTCCTGATAGTAAAGAACTACAATAGTCCAGCCTTGAAGTAACAAATGCATGGACTAGTTTCTCAGCATCACCCCTGGACAGGATATTTCTAATTTTTGCCATATTCCAGAGATAAAAGAAGGAAATTCTAGAAACCTCTTTGATATGGGATTTAAATGACAGGTCCTGATCAAAAACACCAAGATTTTTTACTTTATTATTTGAGATCAGTTTAATCCCATCCAAATGAAGTGACTGTCTAATCAGCTTATTTTTCAAAGACTCTGGTCCAAAGACTATAACTTATGTTTTGTGTGCATTCGGAAGGAGAGTTTCCCTCCCCAAAAATAGTAAGTGTACTAAAATATGTGTTAAAGGTTTATAATGTATTTCCTGACAAAATGAATGCCTTAAAAAGTGCATTCTTTTTCCAAAGAAACAAGTATTGATTTTACACATAAATCATCTCAGTCCATCTGCAATTAGTCTTTACTCCTTAAATCAAAGGAAAATACGCTTCAAGAAATTTGTCTAATAGTGCACTATTTGCCAAAAGCAAAAACAATATCTGTATGTTTTGCAGTACATGGGCCAGGACCGGTTTTAGAGGGGCACTGGCCCCTGTTGGCCCCTGTCTAGAACCACCCATGGGAATAACTTTCTAAAGGACTGGTGTGCACTTTTCCCCAAACACCGTGGCTAGTAAGTCCCCACCAATAATTTCCACTTTTTTTTCTCCCCCTTTCCGCTGATTTACTTGACAAAAGTGTTGCGTCCTTGTGTACTACGTAGATACAAAAAAAAGCTTGGGTTCTTAGAGGACCATGACTCACAGTTACAGGTTGAAACACATTGTTTTCCTATTTAGCAAACAAAATCAGACTGCAGAGCTGCGTTATATCATATTAGTTGACAGGTTCATAAATCTGCTTTAAGCAGAGCACAAAGACGAGTAAGCTGCAGATTTAAAGATCAAACAGATTTACTGGAATATGCAACATGCAATAAAATTTCTCAAGTTTACAAGGAAAAAATTGCAATGTTATATTTTAACAAATCTTCTGTAATTCAGCAAGACACAGAAAAAGCTGCGCCAACCAACCCAAAGATAATGCACTAAAAGGTATCTGCATATCTATATAATGTATTTTGGTACTTTTGTTCTCAACAGGAAAGCATTCCATAAATATGTTTGGAATCATTTTTGAAACATTCTAAAACCTAATGAAAGTCCTTGGTTCGCATAGCTGTAGATCCATCAGCCGCCACCCTTAGCGTATCCCCACCCACTTTCAAAGTTACAGCATGCAGTCATGTTTTGAGCTTTATCACTGAGACATTCAGGAAGTCACTTCATTTATTTCTTTTAGAAGGCTGTAGTATCATTTTTGCCCCCTTATCCATTTGAGCTTGTAATTTCTATATCAAGTACAGCAGTCCAAACTTCATTGGTGTCAAAAGTACACACATTTGTTACTCAAGTGTAGATACTGCAATTTAAAAACACTCTGGTTAAAGTTGAAGAATCAACTTGACCTCTTTACTCAAGTAAAAGAGAAAAAGCATGTGCTCCAAAAACTACTTAAAGTATAAAAGTATACAGCCAGATGCCACTATATGAATTGAAAGCTCCATTTTAGAACCATTTCAAAAAATTCTTTGAGATAGGGCCAAGGATGAGGGAGGTCCTGTTGGTCTCCGTCTCCCGATACGCTCTCGCCTGTGTCCGACCTTTCAGACAGTTCAACATATTTTTCTGAATCCGACATTGTAGCATGGCATAGACAATTTGTGTTTACAGTTGGAACACCTGCTTGCTTCTGATGATTTCCTTTAGCTAACCAATGAGTGTTTGTTATACGACTCATCCAACTACACTAGTTTTCACTAGATGTGGATGGAACCAATGATCTGCATTGGATGACGTACATGGCGTGAAATATTTATAAACATAAAACCTAAGCCAAGAGTAACGAGTAACGTTTGTTTTAAAAATTTAAGGAATAGAAAGTACAGATACTTGTGTGAAAATGTAATGAGAAGTCAGGAGAAAAAGTATAGATATCTACACTGCAAAAAAATGGAAATCTAATTAAACAATTTTTACTTAAAAGTGCATTTTTTCTCCAATTCAGTACAAAAGTGAGACACTTTGCCAATGGAACAAGACAATTTACATTTAAAAAAACTATTGTATTGTCTTATTTCAAAGTTCATATTATCTAATTATATTTTAAGAGTAAAGACACAAATTTCATTGGCAAATCATTGTATTTACCCACTCAAATTAAGGGTAAATCCACTTAAGATATTTTTACTTATTTCTAGATCATTTTTGCAGTGAATAAGGTGTACTTAAGTACGGAAAAGTAGCGTTTTTACTTCATTACTTGACACCTCTGAAACTATATATACTATATCTAGCCTGCAGTCACAACTTAATGTTAAGAAAAAACTAACCCCTTAAAAGTAGATGCATAATACACCTGATTCAGGATTAACCATAATATTAATGATGCCAGCTCAACTTGCAAATGTCTTATAATGAAGCTGCCACTTTCCAGTCAATATAGGTTGTGCAACTTACTCCACTTTACAATATAATTTCTGAACCTAAGATTTGGCTAATAAAAATAGTCATTCCCTCTAGTCAATATACAAGTTAAAAATCTTTGCAAGGGCAGTTTATTTGATCAAACCTAACACTCCAATGTTAACCTTCTACAACAAGACTCCAGTGAATACATAACAGTTTTGAATCTGCAGTCACCGATCAAAAAGACAACTCATTTAGTACCATCAAAAATCTTTTTACAAGCACCAAAACCCCTTTTCCACATCTGAAGGGATTTGCAGCTTCAATGTTTAAAACAGCAAGTTTGCAGGTGCACGAAGGGTTTAACATTTATAGAGGATATTTAGTTTCTTTATGTCCAGGGGGCTCAGTCGGATCCTCTGTCCAATGTTTTGGGCTTTTTTATGGGTTACAATAGTTGGATTCCCATCCACACTGAAAAACGACCTGTACAGAAAGTTAAAATCAGTGGATAAACAAATAAAAACACTAGTGTTTAAACATTTCATACCAATTAGGCAAGAGGAGTTACTTACGGTCCATAGTGCATGATGGAATCATAGTCATAAGGCTGGTTTAGAGTGTCTCCATTTTTTACTTTGAAGTTTCTCTTCTTGCCTTGAAAATAAAAACAGTATTTGAATTCAGAATTTTACCCTCAAGAGATGGTACCATCAGTTATATCTTTAATGGTCACCACATTAATCATCTGGCAAAGGGAGATCAAACATTTACCTTTTAAGATTGTACTAGGCCCAACCATAATGCCTTTGGACAGTTCATAAGAATCAATTAAAGGTTTTAGCGGATGTCAAAACACCGCCTGCACATTCTAGAACCATCTTTTAAAGATGCAAGAGCCCGTTTAAAGTTGGAAATTAAGGGTCTTCAAGCACATTGCAAACAAACTCCTTTTCCCCCAATCTCAGATTAATTTTTGTGAAGATCTAAAAAACAATATAACACCAATTAGGCTATTCCCAACAAGCCCTTTTTTCAGCTCCCCCCACCTTTTATAAAGAGCATTTCTTTGGAGACTACACTGGAATTAAAGCAAGTGAATAACAAAAGCTGAGCTAAATCCATTCAAGATACAAAACTAAAAACCTTTAAGCATAAAAAGCCCCAATTGTTGTACTTCAGGGCTCCAAGTGTATTGGTTCAGCCTCATTGGTCATGTCTGGATAAATCTTCTAGAGTAAACCCCAAAAAAGTCATTTGATAGGCATTTACTTGGAATGACGCTTGACCAGTTGATGGAAATGTATTCGTCTCTGTCATTACGAGTGTGCTCATGGTATAACCCTAAAGCATGTATAAGCTCATGGGCCAGGTTGCCAGTGGTGCAGGATTGGGCGAAGTAGACTGGCTGACTTCCACCAGTCATGCCAATGAAGGATGCGCAGCTGGAGTTAAGAAAAGAAAGAGTCTTCAGAATGAGCCATGGACATTTTAAACAGTTTATAACTGATGCTGTTGGAATTGGGTTAAACAATTTTCCCCATCTGGCCATTTTAGGCAATGAAAAATGGCTTCTCATCATAAGCCATTTTGTTTACTGTAGATCTCACCCTTTGCCATCTTTAATACTAATATAGTGCAGCTCATCAGTGTGTGGAATAAAGCGAATACAGGTGAATCCTGATATCATCCTGAAGGCTTCCTGGATTTCAGCCTGCCGCCCTGTTGGCACAAAGTAATGTTTGAAATCAGAACAGACTATTTAAAGTCAGATTACCTGAAATTACTACAACTCACCAAGGTTTGGGCTGATTTCGTATGGGACAATGCCATTTGCCCACACAGATTTAACAGCATTCCGGTCCTCCTGCCAATTAAAATTAACATTAGGGAACCACTAAGATTTAGTCTAAGAAAAAAAAATTTTTAAAATTTGACTGACCATCATTATTATGTCGCCCTCAATCTGATTCCCTTCCAGGTCTACACCACAAGACAAAGATTATTTTTGTTGAATTTATTGATTCAGTTACTTACAAGGTGTGTAGATTGTACCTTGTAAGGTCTCTGCACTCTCATTGGATGCCCCTGCACTCCCGTTGTGTGGGGGAGCCTCGTCCCAGGCCACTGCCGCTGCCCTTGCACTCCCGTTGCGTGGGGGAGCCTCGTCCCAGGCCACTGCCGCTGCCCTTGCACTCCCGTTGCCCTGGTGGGCCCGGTCCCAGGCCACTGCCGCTGCCCTTGCACTCCCGTTGCCCTGGGGGGCCCGGGCCCTAGCCAACGCCCTAGCCCTTGCACTCCCGTTGCCCTGGGGGGCCCGGTCCCAGGCCACCGCCCTAGCCCTTGCACTCCCGTTGCCCTGGGGGGACTCGTCCCAGGCCGCCGCCATAGCACTCCCGTTGCCCTGGGGGGACTCGTCCCAGGCCGCCGCCATAGCACTCCCGTTGCCCTGGGGGGACTCGTCCCAGGCCGCTGCCATAGCACTCCCGTTGCCCTGGGGGGCCTTGTCCCAGGCCGCTGCCGCCCTAGCACTCCCGTTGCCCTGGGGGGCCCGGGCCCTAGCCAACGCCCTAGCCCTTGCACTCCCGTTGCCCTGGGGGGCCCGGTCCCAGGCCACCGCCCTAGCCCTTGCACTCCCGTTGCCCTGGGGGGACTCGTCCCAGGCCGCCGCCATAGCACTCCCGTTGCCCTGGGGGGACTCGTCCCAGGCCGCTGCCATAGCACTCCCGTTGCCCTGGGGGGACTCGTCCCAGGCCGCTGCCATAGCACTCCCGTTGCCCTGGGGGGCCTTGTCCCAGGCCGCTGCCGCCCTAGCACTCCCGTTGCCCTGGGGGGCCTTGTCCCAGGCCACTGCCGCCCTAGCACTCCCGTTGCCTTGGGGGGCCTTGTCCCAGGCCACTGCCACCCTAGCACTCCCGTTGCCTTGGGGGGCCTTGTCCCAGGCCACTGCCACCCTAGCCCTTGCACTCCCGTTGCCTTGGGGGGCCTTGTCCCAGGCCACTGCCACCCTAGCCCTTGCACTCCCGTTGCCTTGGGGGGCCTTGTCCCAGGCCACTGCCACCCTAGCCCTTGCACTCCCGTTGCCTTGGGGGGCCTTGTCCCAGGCCACTGCCACCCTAGCCCTTGCACTCCCGTTGCCTTGGGGGGCCTTGTCCCAGGCCACTGCCACCCTAGCCCTTGCACTCCCGTTGCCTTGGGGGGCCTTGTCCCAGGCCACTGCCACCCTAGCCCTTGCACTCCCGTTGCCTTGGGGGGCCTTGTCCCAGGCCACTGCCACCCTAGCCCTTGCACTCCCGTTGCCTTGGGGGGCCTTGTCCCAGGCCACTGCCGCCCTAGCCCTTGCACTCCTGTTGCCTTGGGGGGCCTTGTCCCAGGCCACTGCAGCCCTAGCCGTTGCACTCCCGTTGCCTTGGGGGGCCCGGTCCCAGGCCACTGCCGCCCTAGCCGTTGCACTCCCGTTGCCTTGGGGGGCCCGGTCCCAGGCCACTGCCGCCCTTGAACTTCCGTTGCGCCAGGGGGGCACATCCCAGGCTGCCGCCACCTTTTCACTCCAGGCAACTAAAAATTTGTTTTACAAATGACATCACATTTCTAATAATAATTACATGAAGACAGTCCCAAGTGTTCTAAACATGTGTACTGTCTATACAGGAAAATATTGATGGGTCAACGGACACCGATGCATCAGAGCATGCAGAGAGCTCATACAGTAAAACCCTGTTTTGTTGCACTTCTCTCTATAGGAAAGTCACTTGACCAATACAGGAGTTGTTTCGAACATACCAATGCGCCAAAATATTTATAAGTAAGCTCATCTCTGTCAGGATGCATCTGACAAAAGAATCTCTGATCTTCTGCTTTTCAATTTCTTATTTATCCAATATACACATTTCAAATTGAATTACCTTAATTTTCATATTTTCTGTAATCGTAGTTACAAATGACTTCACATTACAACAGCCATCTACAGCCAATCCTTTTATTCAGAGTTTTTGGATGTCATCTCTGGAAATCCTATTGTTCCTTAATAAAATTTTGACAAAAAGATCCCAATCCACATCCATTCTTTTCATAAATTGTTCACATTAGGATAGGTGTCCACATTGACTGAATGTATATATAAAAAAAATACATTTAAATAAACATTTGAAATACAATACAACATTTTAAAGGTCAGGTTGGCAAGGTGGAAACTCTTCATGAAACTAGTGATGGGTTAATGAGGAATCCCAAAGGGTTTTGACACATTGCAAGACCGTTTTGAAATTGTCTCACAGAATACTGACACCTGCTGGACCTTTAAAGACACTACAGGGAGCTTATTTATCAGACTCAACTGAATTTATTTGATGACCTAGTACAATGATATAATTGAAATTATATCCATGTTTAAACTTAAAATTTTTAGATGCAGCTAATGAATAATGAGAACATATATCACAACGTGAAAATTGAATGAGAATGCTGATGGAGTAGGATTTTAAATCATTTTTAAAATAGGTACAGTAAAAACAGTTCATAAACTAAGAATCAATTTGGAAAGTTCAGTTAGTAGGTTGAGTGATAGACGACAGAACGAGAAAATGAAAAAAACGCAACAGCTGAAACGTTTCTATTCCTTTTAGGCTGCTCAAAAAAATTCTTGATAACTTTAAGAATAAACCGCATGCAGCCACTTTGGACCCATCACCAATGACAACCCATCAATTACACAACGTTTTTCTTTCCTATAATATTGCCAAGAAAAATAAGTCGAAATGATTTTCTAACAAATTAGATTTTTTTTTAAACAATGAAGCCTACCTGTTGACAAGCAGCCAAGCAACAGCAACACCAAACAAGGATCCACACTCATACTGACTGCAGGAGGAAAAAACTTTGAATCCACCAGCCTCTCTTTTCTGACTTAAAAAGGAAAACTCTCATCTCCACAGCTGGGATCACTTCCACTGATTGTATTGTTCCTAAATCAAGCACCAGGGGGCGCTGTGTTGTTTCTCCTATTCAATACTACAACATTTAGAAATTAGATCGTTATTTGAGCATATTTCAGCATATTCTACCCCTAATATTTAGGTTTTTACACATTAAAATGTGATGTGTCCTATTATTAATGTTCTCTACTTAAAGGGAAACAACATTGTTTAGAAAAAACAATGAGCTGTTTTTTTTTTTCTTTCAGAAATGCCAGTAATGGCAATTTTATTGCCTCTTCAACCAGTAACCCCCCTTGACACAACTGGCCAAGACTCGACAGACTGCTGTGTATTTAGCAAATATCTATTTAAACACATAATAGACAATAATATGCAAGTACGCAGAATCAATTGGATTTTATTATAAATTCTGCCAAAGTAATTTGTCTTACTACATGATGGCCGCTAGGTGGCAGCAGATAACTCAAATTGTTTTGTTCTCAGTCGTTAATTCCTCAAAATTCCAGCCGTGGGACACAGTTCCGTGAGAAGCATGAACCTTTGCTAAAACGTACCGTTTTGGGTTTGATTTAAAGGTTTTAATGTTAAATAATGGAAGTATTTGACAATTTACGTTAAAAAAAAACTCCGTCAACTCGTTTAATGCCAGGGTGCGTTCAGGGACTAAAGGAAAGCATCGGTCATTTGAAACTTGTGCTATCCAGGGTGTTGATGCAGCGAGCGCCCTCTGTGGGCCTTGGTGAGGGAATCTCTTATTTTATCAGATCTCCAGAAAGTAGTTTTCTGATTCCCGAAGAAAAAAAAAAAACCCCCAAAAAACACACTTCCATAAAAGCGTGTATTAAGAGCTGAGAATTTTTCACTTGTTTTAGTATTTTGTTTTATTTATAATGCATCAACTCCAGTGACAAACATACGACATTAAAACATTAAACCTCCCCCCTCTGTTCTTCCCAAGGCATATTTAAAAGGACTTTTTTCTAAAAAAAAAAAACCCACACAAATATTTAAGGGTTTCTTTGAAAGACATGATGTTATTTTAGGCTAGATATTGGTTTTAATATAGAAATAGAGCTAATACTTCTCATTTGCATTACCTGTTTAATTTTAAACCCCTAATATCAACGTTATAATAACAAAACCCACTAATAATGAGTTTCAACTCATTCAACTTATAAAGCTGACCATTAAGAAACTTTTCAGTTAAACTTTTTTTTTTTTTTTTTTTTTTTTTTTTTTACAAATCTGTGTTTCTGGCCCCTACGTTGAAAACATAAACTGTAAAAACAGTAGTAGGTCATTTTTTCTTAAACTAAATGTATTTTTCCTTGATTTGATGAGATCTTTAAGAAAATTTGCCAACGGAGTAGAATGATTTACACATAAAACAAGAAAATCTTGGTGCAACTGCATCTAAAATACTGATAAGGGAAAAGAAAACTTATTCCTTTGGCAGATCATTCAATTCACCTGCTTTGATTATGGGCAAATGCATTGATTTTTCAGGAATGTTTTCTTATTTAAATAATTTTTCACAGTGTAATAAATAAATATATTTCTTTTGATGACATGCTCTGACAGAGGAGACTTTAACTGATTTGACTCTTCTTTGCTGTTGTTCAGTATACAGCACTTTGGTCCTTTATAAGTTTTAAATTGCCTTATAATAAAATTGGATTACAATTCAATATTTCGCCTTTCAGATTTACTATATACTAAAAAACATATAAAGTTAACTTATTTTTAAGTTTTATTTCAGTCTAATATTTCTCAGAATTCTGACTTTAATCTCAGAATTCCGACTTTAATCTCAGAATTCTGCCTTTTTTCTCTCGGAATTCTGACTTTAATCTCAGAATTCTGCCTTTTTTCTCGGAATTCTGACTTTAATCTCAGAATTCCGACTTTAATCTCAGAATTCTGCCTTTAATCTCAGAATTCCGACTTTAATCTCAGAATTCTGCCTTTTTTTTCTCGGAATTCTGACTTTAATCTAAAAATTCTGCCTTTTTTCTCGGAATTCTGACTTTAATCTCATGAATTCCTAGACTTTAATCTCAGAATTCTGACTTTAATCTCAGAATACTCTGATGACTTTTAATATTCAGAATCTGACTTAATCTAGAATCTTTTCAGATTACTTTATTGTACTGTAAATTAGATCTAACTTCTGGCCAATCTTTTCGGAATTTATAGTTCTAAGTCAATAAACATTTAAATCACGGTAAATTTCAGCTGACATTTGTCTCTCAGTCAGTTATTTTAATTCTGAACACTAATGTGCCTCGATTAAGAATGTATATTTGACAAAATAAGATAATTAAAAAATCATTTAACTTCCATTTATTTTCAGTGACAATCTCTTTCGGTATTTATAATTTAAAGTAATATAAACTAATTTAACTCTACGAGTAAATCTTGTCAGAGCTGACATTGATTGGTCACTCTCCTATGTGTTTGTTATCAAGCATACAGATGCCTCCGATTATAATGTTTTAAATGAAAAAAATAAACATTGGTAATTCAATTTCGCTTTCAGGAATATTTTCTTCATTTAAATAATTTTTCAAGTGTAATAATAATATATTTCTTTAGACTGCTGACTCAGAGAGACTTTAACTGATTTGCTTTTTTGCTCGTCGTGATTCAGTATAACCAGGCACTTTTGGTCCGATTCTGATTAATTCAAATTGCTTATAAATCTCAAAATTGCATTACAAATTCAATACTTTAAGTCTAAATTTCAGCTTATTTCTCAAATCGACTTTATAAAAACATATAATTCTTTTTTTCTCGGAATTCTGATTTAATCTCATAATTCTGCTTTACTCAGAATTCTGACTTTAATCTCAGAATTCCGACTTTAATCTCAGAATTCTGCCTTTAATCTCAGAATTCCGACTTTAATCTCAGAATTCTGCCTTTTTTTTCTCAGAATTCTGACTTTAATCTAAAAATTCTGCCTTTTTTCTCGGAATTCTGACTTTAATCTCATAATTCTGACTTTAATCTCAGAATTCTGACTTTAATCTCAGAACTCTGACTTTAATATCAGAACTCTGACTTTAATCTCAGAATTCGGACTTTAATCTCAGAATTCTGACTTTTTCAGAATTCTGACTTTAATCTCAGAATTCTGACTTTTTTCTCAGAATTCTGACTTTTTCTCATATTGTACTGAAATAAAATTAAGAAATCAGTTAACCCTTTCTTTTTTTCCGTGGCCCCAATCCTCTTCGGTAATTTATAGATTTTAAAGTCAATATAAACAATTTAAATCTACGGGTAAATTTTCGAGCTGACATTATGGTCCTCTGCCATGTCAGTTTATTTTAATTCTGAACAACATAAGAGTGCCAACCGATTAAGAAATGTATATTTGACAAAAAAGATAAATAAAATAAACATTTAATTCCAATAGACGGTGCAGAGGTAGACAACGTCTGGTCTGTTCGAGCTTCAGTGAATTAGAAGTGAGTTTTCCCACTGACATTGAACGCCTCTACAGTCAGCACCCTGTGGGTCATGTGACGTCCTGTCATGTGATTCGGTCACTTCCTACTGGTTCGGTTCAGAGCCGATCCTCTCTGCTGTATCATGTCGTCTTAATTGAGCGCCACAGGCGGGATCCAGCTCGGTAAAGACATGTTTATCCAGGATATATCGACTCAACGCGGGCCTCTGAGGCTGGTTCTGTGGCTCTGCGTCGGTGTGGGGTGTCTGTTGGCTCGGTCCGGAGCAGAAAAGGACCGCAGCGGCAGCTTGTGGTACCAGGACCTCTGCAGGTAACAAAACACACCTCCTCCACTCACACTCACCAAAACTCATTACACTGCCTTATTTTGTCTGTAACTAAACAGTTGGGCTAACTAATCAAACCGGGTTATCTGTGTGTTAACTGACGCTAAACCGTTTTTTTTTTTCTCGCTAATGTTTTATCACGTTTGACGTGTATCTCCAGCTGAAAGCAGCTCGTTGATCAGCCGTTACGGAACCAAGTTTTGAGCGATACCGCTCGCCGTCTGTCAAGCTAGAGACCAACGGTTCTGATCCGGTTCTGACCGCCTCCCCAGCTGACCCAGATGACGCGTATGCTAGCAGAGATAGGATGGGAAGAACCGCTGCCTGACAGGACCAGCTGGAGCGCATTTAACCTCTGTGTTTTAAAGAGCCATCGATCGGTTCGGCTGCATTCAGCTAGCTTATAGCATTTATAGGAGTTTATAAAGAGAAAAACTGAACTCAAGTTCCTTAAAGTCGGAGGGAAGTCGGATTTAAATGTCAAATCATTCTGGCTTAAACATGTATATAAATGTACTCTTTATCAGACCACATTGTCCCAAAAGTTAGAAAATTTCTATTTAATAAAAAAATATTTTTTTTTTCGTTATTTTATTCAGGCCAGTTAGTTATACGTCAGCTTGTACACCTAAATTCGGCCAATCATATATCAACGCTCATCTGTCAATCAAATTCTTTCGGTCATAGCATCTTGATTCATATGTCGCAGCTAATATATGCAACTAGGGATGCACGATATAATCGGCCCCCTATCGGTATCGGCCTTAAAACTGAATATCGGACATCGGCCACCCCACCGATATTTAACCCGATATTTGATCAGCTTCTAAGTTTCTAAAGTCTAAAAAAAAATATATATATATATATATATATATATATATATATATATATATATATACTTCTTCCTCAAAAACTTCTTTTTTACAGACTTATAGACTTCTAAAGACGAGGGAAAAAATATTGATACATTAAAATTATCACAATATCTTCATATGCTGATATATTGCCATTTAAAAACACCATATCAATCTCTTTTACTAATGAAATATTGCTATATGTCATCGTTATGCTACGAAATCCCCCGAAAATTCACGAAATTTTGCCATATTTTTATATGCTGATATATTGACGCGGTATCGATCTATTTTACTAACAAAATCTCACAAGAATTTGCAAAATATCACGAGAGTTTGTAACGGAACGATGAAATTTCACGAGATTTTGAAAGTAAAATAGATCGATACCACGTCTGTGTCTTCGGCAGGCGTAGAGCTAACAGAACTGGTGGCGTTGCGACGTATACGGCTGTAAAGGCTGATTTATACTTTGAAACTAGGTCATCTGCTCAGGTGTTACAATGAACAAAAAGACGTTCCAGCCCCTTCCGCAGACACTCTGCTGCACCTCTCCTAAATTGTAGGTGACCAAAGACAGGAGACCGGCTTGTTTTGTTTTTTAGCCGCAATTGTGGAAAACAACTTGTTAAGTTTGACCAGCTAGATGAGCGAGGTACGCAAGAACGCTGGGACCATTTTTCCACCTGGATCCCCGCTCTTTTTCACCATCATGTCTCTCTGTTGTCAGACAAACTCGCCCCCACTTCTTCACCGCCTCGGCCGTATCTAGACCCACAGCTTACCATGCTCAAAATTGAGCATAAATCAAAAATGTCTGCCTCATGCTCACTGCGACACACTGCTGGAGGGTATTAACAGCCCTTAAAGGGGAACGCTGTTTGTTTTTTTTTTTGTTTTTTTTACATTAGGACCTTGATTTTACGTTATTACATCATGTTCTACTCTCCCATATGTGTTTTGTGTCATTTGGAGCTGTTCTGAAGATATTCCGTTAGGTTCTATCCAACTAACGTCTTCCTATGGGCAACGACTTGAAGGCACAAACTGAACTGTTCATAATTTATTCTATATGGTACGCCAGAATTCATAACATGTAGGCCAATCACTGTCCCCCAGACATCCACGGTTATATTTTTTATATTTATATTTTTTTAAACAAAGCGGAGTGTGTATGATGTGTACCCACTCCTGAGAGCCCATTTCTCCCCGTGCACGATCTGTTTAAAAGTTACTGTAGCATCGCCTATAAAAGATTACTCTCCACAAGAACATTTGCTATTTTTCCACTATGTCAGACTCACCACCGGTAAGTGAAAATGGGGACGAGCTCGTAGGACGGCCTTACGTAAACATATCACCAGAATGATTTACAGTCAGGAGGAGGACTTCTTTTGATGATCCATCCGGAAAAATAGCGTCCTCTTTTATACCTATCTAACTAGATAAGTAAACACCACGCTTTCTTATTTAAACTGATCCAGCTTTACAGTATGCAGTCTATTGCTGGAAAAATCGGATTATTCGTGATCAATTCATTATTTGAATAATCGTCAACTAATTTAGTGATCGATTAATCATTAACTGTATTAAGAGACTGTAAAAAATGCCTTTGGCTGACAGAGCGACCCACTTAGAGCAGTAATTATACCAAAAATGTAAAAAAAAAAAAAAAAAAAAATTTCATTTTAGATAAAAAAGCTTTTTCGTCTGTCAATACGCTCTGTCCAGAACTCCTCAAGTGGAACCGTTTTAGATTCACCTGGTTTAATTTCGTAAAAAGTCTGCTCTAAGGAACCTTTTGCTAATTAAATAATCGATTAATCGAAAAAGTTATAGATCGATTTGCAATATCATCGTTAGTTGCAGCCCGAATGCAATCTGGTCTCTCTTCTGAGTACCCACAAAATACATCTTTGATATAGCGCATTGATTGTTTACTTGGCCGGACCCGTTTAACATGGACAGGTGAATGTTACATCCGCAACAGCGCTTGAATTTACCAGAAAAATAGGCTACAGGCTTATGGAGTCATCTGTGCTGAACTACAGAGGCTTCATTCTGCTCATCAAACAATGTTTTAGTTATAAAGGGTAAAATTAAAGGCTATTTTAAAGATATTGACTGAGTAAAAACTCACATATTGTCTCTTTAATGGGCAAAACTAAATGTCGTAACGTTTTTGCGGCCCTCTCGCCAATATGCCGACTTATTGCAGGTACAAAAAATAAAATAAAACCCACAATTTATATAGTCTTTGAGTGTCCTAAATGTAAAACATATAAAGTCCAGGAATTGTCTGTCTTTGGATCCCATACAGCTCTCCTCTTTCTGAAAACCTCCGTATTTGCTGAAGCTTTTTAAAACGTTTAACTCATTTAAAAAATTTTTTTATATCGTTTAGTTTTCTTTCATAGTAATTTGCATATGTAGACATTTGTTTATTTAAAATGTTTTGTGATTGAAAGAAGTGTAGATGTATTGGTATATAATAAAAAGAAAAGGCCTCACAAACTGATTTAGGACAATAAAAGTAAACTCATGATTCTTGCTGCAGTCACTCGTTTTTTCCAGAAATGCTAAATGACATGAAGTCTGCTAATTCATTCTGGTTTTTCACTGTTTGGTTCATCCAGTGTTTTTCATTTTAAACATACTGACTTTCTGATTTTTGTATTTTTTTTTAAGTGTTGTACAGTAGTGATTGAAACAGATCAATTATCTTAAACATAGATCCTCAAAGGCTGGTTCCCTGCAACAATAACCTCGATGCTGATGTTTTGTTCTTTTCCTTATCTAGAACTTTATCAGAATTTCTTTTTATTCGTTTTATTGTTGTATGGTTGATGAAACAAAACATGCAACTCTCCAAAAACTAGATGAGCCAGACAGGAAGTTGGACCCATTAAAAAGTCCATCCACACTTTCACATTTCCTACATTTATGTACACAGCTGTATCTGGCATCGGTTTGGCTTCAGTGCCTAGCTCCAGGACACTTGGACGTTCTGCAGGGGAAATCACACTGCCATCTTCCCATTTACCCATCAACTGCTTTTCATGCACAGTCACAAAGTTTCACTTTATTAAATCATAACTTTAATGCATATTCTCTGCAGAATTACAATTGCAAAGTACTGCTTTGATGAAGCGATGCAGTTTTTCATACTGGAGTCCCATTTTACCTGCCAGTGAATTATTTTGCACGTTTTATTGTCTTCCATTGCTTGATGGCTACACTTCGGTTAGAGTTTAATGAGCAGGATGCTAAATTCATGGAGAATATAAGGGAGGCTTAAACGGATAATATGATCTCAAAATGCTAAAGTAAAACCAAAGGTAATGGTTTTATTATTTCTTTTTACATAGTAAAAAAATACAACTTCTTATACAGTGTTTATTTGCTGATTTACCTGCTACCTAAACAGTTTTACTTTGATCTGATTATGATGTTTCTTAAACTGTAGTGTTTCTGTTATGGTATGGGTAATTATATGATAACTTTTGGGTTTTTGTTCTTTTTATATATATATTTTTTCTAGTCTTTTATGTAGTTTTTATTTGTTTTTTGATGACCCTAATACTTGGATTTCCCAACTACTATATATTCCCATCCATCAGGATCACAGGGATATGTTTCCAGCTGTATGTTGGTTACAGCTTTCCTCTCCAAGGATATTTCTGTTCAATTTTACAATTTATCTTGCTTTTCACAATAACAGAAGAAGCTGAGCTTTGCAATGTTTTTAAAGAAGTGCTTTAAAATTGAAACCCGCCTGCACTGTTGCACATTTTGTAGCACTGTTGCCTTGCCTCAAGAAAAATCATGGCTTCTCTTTAACAATTTTATAGCAAATTGTCAATAGATCTAGTGTAGTACTAGCTCTAGTTCCTCCCTTTTACTCTTAAAATGGGTCTGTTGATAAAATTTAGGGAGCTGATTTAAAAATTAAATGGATAAATAAAAAAGTCCTGCTGATTTGAAGGAAATTTAGCATCCGTCGCTCTGGTGGCTTTTGAAGGCAGAACATTTTCTCTAATAGTGAGGGCTGTGTTCCTTCTTTGGAGCTCTCTCTGTGCAGCTACTGTCTAAATATTGACACAGCCATAAGAGAGGAATGATAACCAGTTACCTGGATGTTCACACTGCCTGGCCCTCATTAACTTGTTTTGACAGTTTGTTCTGAGAAACATTAGTGAAATGAAACTCTTAATGGTCAGAAATGCTCCAGGATTAACCTCATTCCAGTACTACTGGAAGGTGTCCTGATTCTGGAGAATCTTTATCATTCAGATATTTTACCTAAAGGGAAGCTTTAATCCTAAACATGAGTTCTTTGCATATTCTATTCAAAGGGTGTCTCACTGTTTGGCTACTTTAGTCCCATTTTTAATGCCTTTATGAGGATTTTAAAATCTGCACACACTCATCGCCCAAATTCTTTCTTTCCTACTTGTCTTCTTTCTCTTTCAGTTATAAATGGGAGGCTGTAGACCAGGACAGAAATGTGAAATACACCATAAAACTCTGTGAGTCCTCACCCCCGACCAGCTGCGGGGCGAGCGCTGCAGTGTGCGCTCAGAACCTCGACGGAGAAGAACCTCGCTCAGTTGGTGAGTACAGTGGACTGAGACAGCGTTTCATCTCTCTGTCATCCATCTGCAGGAGCTTCTTTATGCAGCACGTTTATTTAATACGCACATTCAACATTCCAACCATGTAAATGTTTCTCATGACTTATGACCCAACAGTCATTAAGTCACAACAAGTGAGTCTCAAGTCTTTGAGCTTATTTTTAAATCAAGAAAATGCCAAGTCTTGAGTTATCCCTCAAACTTTTTTGACACGAGGAAGCAAATGATTTTATTTTTACTGTGATTATTTTTTGCTTTAAATATTTGACTTTAATGAGAGTGTCAAGCCATTTAAGTAAAGACTAGATAAAGGCACAAGTCATTACTGATCGAGTCAAAGTCGAGTCAAGAGACTTTTCTAAGTTTACACCTCTGTTTTTAAATGTTCTGTAGATTATTGACCTCATTCTGTTTCTGTTGTTGCAGCTTTTCAGAAAATTGTCCCGAATTTATCCCCTGATTTTATGTATTTTTTATTCTTTTAACCTTCCACCTACTGTACTTTGATACCCCGCCTCCTGTTAAGTAAAATATATCAGGATTTTACTAGCCTGGTAAACTAACCCTACCCACCAGCGGCCAAAATAATTTCCTGTGAGTTTGGTCTAGTCTTGATGAATGCCCCAGGCCCTAGAACCGGCGGGCCAATCATAACGCAGAAATGTGTTTTGGATTTTTGGATGCAAAGCGGGCGGGGTTTTTAGGACGTGATGACAAAGCTGCGCAACGCTGGAGAAAGCAAAACAAGGAAGATGACAACAACTATTGAACAATTTTTGTTTGACGTAGCTTTGGAATCAGTTTTGGAAGGATTAAACTTTGGGTTTTTGTTGAATGGTGAGAAGAAAGAGGCTCTACGCTCATCCATTTTTAAGAAGGACGTGTTCGCCGTTTCACCGACAGGCTGTTTGTTTACATTCCCATCAACAATCTTCCGATGTCTCATTCATCGAGGCCAGACTAAATTACACATTTAATCTCACATTTAGTCTGGTTTATCAGGGTAGGATTTTACAGCATTTTCTAAGTGTTTTTTTTTTAAACCCAAGCCTTATCTGTTTTAAAAACGTCAACACTAGAAACTCTTGCTTAACTTGTGGTTCATAGCATCTTTATGGCTGTCATTTTCCAATATTTGGTCAATTTACAGCTGATTACAGGAAAACGGTGTAGCTGTGGTTCATCTCTAAGGTCCTGCTCATTTTTAGACCAGACGTCTGTAGGTAATATGATGGGTGCAAAGATATTTAGAATAAATAGCAATAAACACATTTTCTTTAAGCCACAGGAAATGGTGTAACCGTGTAGTTTTTATCTCATACCCCGATTGAAATGTATATATTGGGGTGGTTTCCCAGTTACATTAAAAGATAAGGAATCCCAGGACAGAAACGGCCTTTCTCACTAGTTTGTTCAGTCTCTTTCTGCCCCGCTCTGTGCTGCCAGGGGCCCAACAGACAACAGCTTAGAGGAGGGATGATGCCACCACAGAGTCATAGAAGGTTTTAAGCAGGGGCCTGCTTAAACTAGACTACTTGGATAATTTGTTTTAATAATAACAGAAACCTTGTATTGTGAACCAGTGTATTTTATCATGTTCCTATTCGATTTTAAAGTTGCTGTTTAAGTTTGTATTTCTGCTGCTTTAAACTAAGGCCCATCTAGGTGCTGCTGTTTATAACAGCTCTGATAAATGCTGACTGAGCTATTGGTCTGACGCTGTATGGATCAGTGCTTCATCAGAGATCTTATTTCTGTGCTGATCAGGACGAGCTGCTCCTCCTGTGTGTCAGCAGCATCCTCATCTCCAGTCAGACAGGCGCTGAGCTCCAAAAACAAGCTCAAATAATTTTACCGAACATTAGCTTTCCTAGTATGTATCCATTATTCAATCATTTTCGACCTTATTGTATTTGATTAATCGGTTGAGTTGTTTTCTCAGCAACTTTAGATTTTCTAGCTGCGGCTCAAGGGCTGTTGTAGGACTTGGAATTGTTTTGTGTGAAAGATTTTAATTTTTTGCTTTTATTTGAATATGTTTTATAAGACTCACATCTAAGGATAATTTAGAGAAGCCAATTAAACTAACAGGCATGTTTTTAGACTGTAGGAGGAAGCCAGTGTTTTGTCAGATGAGGATACCCTGTCAGACCAGCATACCCATAGTCAATACCAGTTTATCCCTTTAGTTTATCCCTGTTTACCCCTTTATATTTTCCCTTTAGTTTTGTATAAAAAAATAAACTTTAAACTACCTCAATGGGTGTATATCCCTTTAATCATGTACAACAACAACAAACAAAAAAATTTAATTACTTACTTTTTAGTGTTTTGTGAAGCCTATTGTGATCAGACCTTGAATAGTTTTTTCGTACATGACTAAAGGGATAAACTCAAATCTGATGTCCTGGGCATGCCTATTGACAATGGGTATGCTGGTCTGACGGGGTACGCTCACCTTACAGAACACCGGAGTACCCAGAGAGAACCCACGCATGCACAGGGAGAACATGCAAAATCCATGCAGAAAGAACCCGGGTCTGGAATTGAACCCAGAACCTTTTTGCGGCAAGGTAGCAACGCTAACCACTGTGCCACTGAGCAGCTATATGCCTTTCTTTAATTGTGAAATAAAATCACCCTTTTTTAATCTATATTAAGGCCCCTGAATACCTTTATGTTGCAGATTGTGGTCTGCTTGGCAGAAATATCAGGCTGTCAGCAGCATTACTTTTCTGATATCTGCAAGAGTTTTTAGCTAATCTATTCTGTTTCTCTTCCTGATTTTTCTATTTTCTAAGCTATTAAACCATCAGATTAAGAGCCCGTCTCCGTGGTGACCAGAGTGGTAGTTATCCACTAATGTATTTCATTGTTTAGGCAGTTCGTTACACGGGTCCGGTGTTTTTGGAGACTGTTCTGTCTATTATAATGCTAATTTTAGAAACCCAGAGAGAAACCTTTCAAAACGCAATTTGCAAGTCTCCATGTTTACATGTGAACCAAGTCTGTTCTTAAACAATAACATCACAGCTCTATCTCTCCCGGTAACCCACATTTGGCCCAATCTCTCAGACGACAAGAGAAGTGTTGCTCTTCCGTTTTTTGTTCAAAAATTGGCTTTAGAAATCTTTAAATCTTTGTCTGATTGCCTAGATGTTGCTGTTTTTACTCCACAGAAAGTTGCCTGCTTATTTTTTTTACCTGCTTCTGTTGAAGTTTCATAGCGCCTCCTATTGGCCTGGTGAACCTGTAACAGTGTTTTTGTTGTTACTTTATCCTTCCCTGTTCACACAATTAGTTTTTTCTTGAATTTGTCAAACCCTGTTCATCTGCGTGGGGATGAGGCATAAACATATTGCCAGAGAACTAAAATAAAATGTGTTCTCAGTGATTAAAATAAATATTGCTTGATTTAACTCATTTTTGTAAACCTCAAATATTTATTCAAATTAATCTCTGTACCACAATGCGCTTGGACTCTGAGTCAGTCTCGGCGTTTAGTCATTGTAAGGCCTGCTAAAAACTTCCCTTATTCTTCTGCTGACCTCTTTGGCAGCCAGACAGAGTTATTTTAGGCCTAAAACAACATCTTGTCCTGCAGCCAGAGGTCACAACCCGTCCCCTGTTGAATATCTGATATCCCTCAGTAGCCAAGTCCTCACTGTCACTTTAGGCCTTGTTGATTCAAAAACAAAAGCTAAAGGGAGGATTTGTTTGGTCGCTGTTTTATATAATTGCTCTAATTTAGTAGCTTAGTAAGTTGGACTGAGGAAGAGGTCTTATGCAAAGGAGAAGAATCAGTCAACAGTGACCAAGCAGCAGAGGTCAGATGATTCTGAGTTAAATAACTGGGGCTGACTTTTCACATGACCCAGGAACACATCATCGGAGCTATCGGCTGCGCAGACACAGCTGCTGGCTTGAGGCTGTATTTGTGATACAGCTCAGCACTTATGGTTATGCTGTCTGCTCAGATTAGGCAGACAGCATAACCAGAAACCTTCCCATTGCTCCTTTACTCCATCAACACCTTTAAAGAGCAGCATTGCTTTTCTGCTCTACTCAAACAAACTCCAACCCTGGCTTGCGTCATCATCACATGACAAAATAAATATCATGTGACAAAACAATCTCAGAACACATGTACATAAACACAGCATAATGAAAATATACACTGGTTTATTAATATTAGCTCAATTTTATTAATTGCACTCTCACCTGCCAGTGCTTCGTATGACTTATATATCCCAGAATTCAGGATAATCGACGCTCTCTTAGCAGAACGCTGAGCATACAGACTTCTCTTATCTGCTGCTGTCTTTGAGTTTAGTCAGTCATTCTCCTTTATTATCCTCCTGGGTTATCAGCCTGTCATAAGCCAGAGTTCACCAAGACATAAACACATCAAATCACAGAAAACATTCACTCATTCACAAGGGAACATATTTGTTTTCTCATATTTGCAGTCTAGGCGTAACATTTTTTTTTCTGCTGTCTTATAAATTGTTCTCTGCCTGCAAGTGTCAAATATTTACAGACCGTTAACTTTACAGAGTTTCAGTCCACTGACCTGTCAAGTTCTAGAACTGAACTTGTCATGTTTTGCTTTTTTTTCCCACAGTAGTTTTTATTTCTTAAGGTTTGACATCTTAAAATAAACTTGGTATGGCTTAAGAGGTTAGGACACTCAGTCCAGCTGTCTGTTGGAGATAAAATCATTAAATATGAGCCTTTGGATCCGCCCCTGCTAGATGGAGTATGGGATTTAATCAACTTTTAGCTGATAAAACTCCTAACAGTGTGTATTGATATTTTTTTTGCTATTCAGGTGATGTTTCCCTGCAGAGGCTCTCTGGCACCGTCCTCGATTATAACTCCACAGAGACATGCTCCGAAGGCAATAACCCCATTCAGACCAGCATCAGCTTCCAATGTGGGAAAACCATGGTAAGACAGACAATGAGCTAAGCAAGAAATCTATAATCAGAGTATGCAGGACTGGTTGATTAAGGTTTGCATTATTCAAATATGCTCCATTACATCAGCAGACACCTGTTCTGTGCAGCTGTTTAGCTCTGCCAGCTTACACACAAACCCTGCATGTAGGGCCCTATAATTTCCGCGATCACGGAATCGCGGACGGAATTGCAGAATTGGCAAATTAAAGCGGAATCTAGTGTAAACGCGGAATTTCTACATTTGAAATGAAGTTCTGTTTTTGTGTGGGAGAAGAACGTACGTCGGGGGGGAAATACACACCGGGGGACGCAAATCTGGACGACACAACCCCTCTCGCTCCGTCATTTCCGCTCACCTTCCCCCATCAAAACATTGAAAAAACGGCGAAGCGGCTCTCCACAGCTCCGCTTTCAACGAAAAAGTTGAGAAACACGATGCTTAGCCCCGAGTACAGAGCCGAACAGTTCCCTCGTGACTTTTACGTGTCAGGTGAACTATTGTTTTGCAAGTTTTGTCAACATTCCATTGATTGGAAGCACAAAAATACATGCATAAAACGGAAAAAACTGAATTTTCAAAAATTAAAACTAGGAATGCACGATATAATCGGCCCCCTATCGGTATCGGCCTTAAAACTGAATATCGGACATCGGCCACCCCACCGATATTTAACCCGATATTTGATCAGCTTCTGAGTTTCTAAAGTGTAAAAAAAAACATAAAATACTACTACTTCTTCCTCAAAAACGTCTTTTTACAGACTTAAAAACTTCTAAAGACGAGGGAAAAAATATTGATACATTAAAATATCATAATATCTTCATATGCTGATATATTTCCATTTAAAAACACCATATCAATCTCTTTTACTAATGAAATATTGCTATATGTCATCGTTATGCTACGAAATCCCCCGAAAATTCACAAAATTGTGCCATAATTTTATATGTTGATATCAGTGGCGGCCGGCCCATAGGGGGCGCTGGGGCACCGCCCTCCCTGATAAGAAGAGAGAAACGTAAAATATATTTTTAGAAATTAACTCATAAATGTCAGTTTTACTCTCTAGAGTGTGTACCTATAAGCAAAACAAATTATATAAACTACATTTCCCTATCTACTGTCATTAATTTGTGGATTTCCACAGACAGACTCCTACCGTCTCTGTTCTGGGGCTGGGATCAGACTGACCCACATTTGCAGAGAATCTGTCAATCATGTACCATTGCTAGGTGAATTTAATGGCCAATCAGCGTCTCGGAACTTTATGGTCATGGGGCGCTGAAAATACTGCGCTTTTACAGGCTTCTGAACCCAAGCGCAGGTGCAGACGATTAGAGGGAAGATGGCGAATGTATCGAACGAGATGCAGCTTCCACCAAATTCGGTGAGATCCTTATTTATCTACCCGTTTGCCAGAAGAATATCCCTGTTGTAGGATATGAACATTTCATGTCATGGTTATTGTGACTGTGACGAATCCACCTCGTCGCTTAAAACAACCTCTCTAACTTTGCGCGCCACACACACATTCCTGTTATACTGTGTTTGTGAGGACCAATACACTCGCGTTGAGCCCAGTAGCTCCATGAACTTAAAACACACAAGCTGTTCCTGGTTACCTGCTGGCGTATTGAGGGTGCACACTTAATATTTCAGTGGGGTTAGCCGTGTGTGTGTGTGTGTGTGTGGGTGTGGGTGTGGGTGTGGGTGTGTACGTGTTTATGCTATGGGGACTTGTCATCTTCAGTCTGGCTGCGTCTTTGCTGGGTTCAAACCCAGTTTGGTGTAATTGAATAAGTCAATGAATCTGTGTAAAATAATTAAGTTGTAAAAATTATTTGTTTTTGTACATCAATTGTTTGTGGAGGTAATATATGGACAAAACTGATTAATGAGAAGAAATCAGAAATAAGAGAGCCTGAGGTGAGGGGCTTAAACTATTTAATGAGGGCTGTGGGAAGAAAAGCGGCAATTTTTGTTTTCTGTTTCTTTGTTAGGCTACATTGCTGGTAACTGGAGGGAGGCTGAGGCCCAGAGTATCTTTAGTTTCTTTTGCTCCCTGTTTTGAGTTTTTGAGCACAATAAATCACCAACACCGGTAACCCGACTGAGACTGGATTCTTGGAGGCCAAAGAACCCCGTCACAGTGACCCAAATCATCACTGTTACTATTATTATATAGTAAATTCAATCATTTCTGTTAAATTATATGTATTGTCCAATTGTTTATTTGAATTCTTATTCCGGATTAGTTGGAGACATACACTAGGCTATATCAGCCCCACCAAAAATATTTTTCACCAGCCGCCACTGGTTGATATATTGACGCGGTATCGATCTATTTTACTGACAAAATCTCACAAGAATTTACAAAATATCACGAGAGTTTGTAACAGAACGATGAAATTTCACGAGATTTTGAAAGTAAAATAGATCGATACTGCGTTTTTAAAAATCAATTTGATATCAGCATATGAAAATATATTTCAGTATATTATTTTTCAAAGTGTCAGAAATGGATAACAAAACTGCTATTTTCAATGACTACTTATTTTTGTCCAGCTTTAACATCGGTATCGATATCGGTTATCGGCTACATGAGGTTTAAAATATCGGCATATCGGATATCGGCCAAAATTCCAATATCGTGCATCCCTAATTAAAACGGAAAAAACGGAATTTGGGGGAAAATAAAATGGATTTTATAGGGCCCTATGCATGCATCAGAAATTCTGCAGATGCTGTAAAGAGCTGCAAAGTTGTTCTCCATGGTGTCGCTCCCTGACCTGTCCACTGTGTGCCATCATCTCAATGATGGATTCCTCCATTTTAATGTCATTGTTTCAAATGGCACAATGTTTTTAGGCTTAAACTGGATGTTCGTTTTAACTGCTAGCATGAACAATAACGCCGTATATTGTCTGTATGTTGCATAGCTCATGTGTTTCAGCTCTTAGTTAAACGTTTGGGATGATGTCAGCCTAAAACAACTATCTGCAAGGTTTGCAGCTCTATAGTGAGACACAGTGAAGCTTTGTTGAATGTTAGCGGTGACACCTTTTAACTGCTGTAAGAATAACAACACTTTGTTAAAGTGTCAAATGTAGACACAACCTGCAGAGGAAATGTTGTTCTGCTGTTTTCACTTATCTGGTTTTAATCTGTAACAGTTTTTAGTAAAACCATAACCTCGGCAAAATCAAACCCCACCCAGTTACTTTCAGAACAAACCTCTAGTTAAATGTAAACCTGGAAATTATGCTGTCAGATCTTTATTTGCATAAAGTGTAGATGGAAATAAAACAGAACTGGGTGGGGGGGTGGGTTTGTACAAATCTCGCAAATCTTGGGTCTGGTGGAGGCGATCAGACTGTGGCTTTGTTACTGATGTCTCACTTCCTGTCGAGTCACAATGAGAGTAGTTCTTCTACAGAACAAAAGCGCTTTATCTAGTGTATGAGAAGAAAAGGAAAGGCCTCAGAAGAGGCAGATATATTCCGGAATGCTTTGCACGGAGAGCTCTCCTCGCAAAGCATTATGGGATTTGCTGTTACATCATAGGGGGTGTAAATCACACCAATGGCGATTCAATTCAGTATCAATTTCCTGACCCAACGATTAGATTGTTTTTAAAACTAAAGAATATACCACGAAACGATTTGGTTTGATAAATTTTTTATTTTTTAACCTTACAGGCTAGACAATGTTTCTAATTTGAAATAAATCAATGTAAGCTGTAATATTGTTATGCATTTTATTTGAGAAACAACAGCAAATAACAAAAGTATCAAAGTTGTACTCCACATAGGCCTATGAAAACCTTATTCACTGCAAAATAATAATGCCTCTGTGTTATAGATTCTGAAAGGCCTTGCATCAGAAAATACTGCAAGCAGAAAGAATGTAGTGGCTAAATGAAGCGAGGTAGGAGGGCAAAATAGATTTAGCGCCACCGCAGCACGGGAGTCAGAATTACGTTCAGGAGGTAATGCATAATATAGACCAAAGGAAAAAAACAAAACACGTTGCGAACGTGTTGATCGGCTGTTGGATCGACGCATCTATACAAAGCGATTGTTATTTGAACCCCTATTACAGTGGCCCGCTGTAGCCAAAGGCTGTTGCTACCCGATAGCGGCGACTAATCAGAGATGGCGCATGGCACCTTCCAGTGGGGGAGGAGTTATGTAACCTACGGAGCAAAAAGCAGTGATCATCTGTCCGAACGGTCAGTTAACCGAGTTCACTATAAAGTCCCCGCTCTATATAGTGACTGAGGGATTTAGGGGTTAGGGCAGACGGCACAGCAAGCAGGTATGAGCTATGAGAACAGCAACTGTTAAACAGAGCGTGCACCAGGAGAAATGGGCTTGTGCATGCTCTTGGACGCTTATTTTTTATTTTTTATATGGAGATGGTGTTTTTTTTTTTTTTTAAATCACAAAAATCCTCCATAATACTTTTAAATTTTGCTTTGATGTCTTCTAAAGAAACCCTAATCCTTGTGTGATTATTATTAAACCTTTATTTAATCAAAAAATCCCCAATATGATAAACAAAAAAATTCAAGGATACAATGGAAAAATATTTATTAATAAAATAAAAATGGATAAATAAGAAAGCTGTTACAAAATATAACATATAATATCACCATAGACTATTTTTTTTTTCAGTGTCCTGTCTAGCAATGTGGGAATAAGAATAACTGTCTTGATGCCAAAAGAGCCCAACAGATTTTACTTTCACAAGTGGAGCAGTGCGGCTATCGCCATAGTGTTCCGCTTGATTTATGCACAGAAATAGCTTAATTATAATTTATTTATCATTCAGTGTAAGTAGAACAGGAAAGGAAAAATAGAAAAAAAGCAGAAAGATGAAAGAAAGAGAAGATAAAAGGGAGATAACGATAAAACATCTTCAGTCTGCTTCATCACCTAAGAAATGTAAAAAGAGCAGCACAACCAACAGATATAGTATAAGAGATA